CCCGGGCTGAGCCGCCGGTTCTGCCTCCCCGCCCGGCTCCCCGGGGGCTTCCGCGGGCACCGGCCGCAAAGCGAGGGCGGGAGAAGCTCGGGTGAGATGTAATAAAAAGAATTACGCGCATACCAGCGAGAGCTCGCCACTGCTCCCCCTCCCTATCCATTTAAATGCCCTCATAAAATTCAAGTTTTTGGTTTAGAAACACATCCTAATGTGGCTTCGAGATTGCTCTCCCAGAGGCTTTTTTTTTCTGATCATACAGTCGTTCGCCGAGGGCTGTCTCGGTTCTGAGGCAGAAAGTAAGTCCTCAGATGCCCAAGGGTAGCTGTGTTGAGTATGTTATTTGTCAGCTGATAAATAACGTGGCATTTTCCCGAGAAGTCTTTATTTTAAAAATTACAGTGAGTGTAGAGTAGACTCAACCCTTTGGAAAGTTGCATCAGCAGCCATGGATTATCCAGTTACGCTTGGAGAGGGGGTGATTTTTGCCAAATTGTATGCATCTGCCCTTTGGCTTAAAAGTTAAGTGTTGCAGGATTTCTTATTTTCTCAGTTTCCTTCGTAGTTTTCTTCATTGTTTCCTTTGTTATTTCTTTAGCGATTTGCTGTACAGAAGGTTTGTGGTTTGTTATTCCCCCCTTCTTTCTTGTATTGGAAATGTCCTTTGCGGATTAAGCTGAAAAGGACTTCGTTGTTCTGTCTTGAACTCCTGGTTCCAAAAGGGACTTTCACTAGTTTAACGGCAGTATCCAACTCAGAGAGAGTGCTGAAAGCTGGGTTTAGCGTTTGAGGAGAGTGTAGCTGAACAATATGTTGCTAATCTGTTTTCCCTTGCAAGTGTGGTACTCTTATGTGGACTACTGTATCACCTTGATTGGTTTGCTTAGATTGTGGGCCGATGCTGTGGCATATGAAGTGCTCGGACTCACTGAAGCAAGAAGGTGGACAAAGCTCTTCATGGCTGTTGTAAGGCGTAACATGAGTGTCTGTTGTAAAGCATGTCTGAATTGTCACATAAAAAAATTTTACTAACAGAATTGGATCTTACCAAGCAGTTTAACAAGCACTCTCTAGTAGCTTGTGTGTTTCCTTTGACTTTTTTATCCCCTCCTTTGGCATGACTGTTTTCATGTGAAACACAGTGCTATCGCTAGCATCCAAAGCATCACCATTGTTTTTGTTTGACTTCATGATGGATAGCTGTTATAGTTGACAGATGGTGCAGATACCCTGTCAGCGAGGTCGATTTCTGTTACTGTCCGGAGCATGGGGTTTCTTGGCAGGTCCTGGGGCACATGCATACAGCATGTTTTGGCAGCTTTTTCCTCCTTCTCCTCCTGCTTCCTTTAGGAAAAACTAAGAATGTTCTGTCTCTCACACAAGTATTTATCAAAATTGGAAGCTGCAGATCTAGTGGTTAAAATCTAATTCCGTTTACATGATATCTGAGAGCAATGGGAGGAGAAGAAGAAAGAAAACTTGAAGGCTGAAGCAGCAAATTACATGGCCAGGGCTCCAAGGAATGACCTGTATTTTTTCGTTGTCTCAAAATTTTGCTTCATTTGTTTCAAAGAATCATAGAATTGTCAGGGTTGGAAGGGACCTTAAAGATCATCTAGTTCCAACCCCTCTCCCATGGGCAGGGACATCCCCCACTTTTCTTGTCATTCAGTATCTTAAAGAAGGCTTATCTTCAAAAAGCATGGGACTTCATTGTGTGAGACCAAGTCTTGCCCAGCTGGGTCAGTTTGAGGTATCCAATTACCCAAGCTGGTTTTTTCCTTTGTTTTCCCCCATACCTTGGTTGCCCTGTTTGCACAAGTCAGGTGAAAGAACACAGAGGGTAAAGGTGGAGGTGGATATTTAAGATGCTTGATTAGAAAGATTACACATGCAAGCATTAAATGTTCTGTAAAAGGTTGGGAGTTCCATCCAAATCCTAGAAATCGTTCTGATATCTGGAAATGTAACTCGAAATAGTAACTTAAAACATAGTGGAGACATGCAAGCATATGCTTTGATTATGGTGTCTTGTGGAAAGCCTTCAGCTACTAGGTATAACAAAATTATATTAGTGACCTTACTTCTATTAATCTTACCTGACAAGCATCAGACTATTGTAATATGGAGCAGCTGACATGTGCGTGATGCATTGGTGATTCCAAACAGTGGAAAATTCCCTTAATTTATTTGTGGATTTTTTTTTTCTTTTGCTAGGTATTACTAGAAGCACAGAAAGAATTGGTGGACTACAAAGGACTTGGTATAAGTGTTCTTGGTAAGACTTTAAAAATTCTGTATTTGTCAGAATGTAGATGTTTAACCAAATCATTTAATAAGAGTTTTTGATTTTGGTGTTTCAGCTCCTTTTCTTTCATAGTGCTATGGGCATAGCTGACTGGCTTTTCAGATCCAGTTGCAGAAAAATTTTATGCGAGATGGTCAGCATTTTACTGATTCTGTGACACTGATTGCAGCATGAATCCCCAGATTGGGATTCTTGTTTAAATTGCACATTTAGCGATGGAAGAAAGCGTATGGATTTAATAAAAGGAATCATTATTAAATATCCTTTAGGATTGCTGTTTGAAAGAGCCTTGTTAAAATCAAAATAACAAAACAAATCCATGTACCTTACTTCATAGTTGCTACAGCTTTAGTAGCAGAGAAGATTTGTAGAGTAAGGAAAACTTACACCTTTCCAGAGAGTGGTTTTTTTTCACACAGATGTAATTCTTCCTGGCAGTAGTAAGGTCATGTGGATGCCAAATGTGAATGAACTGGACTTGCCTAGATCAGGACAAGACCGAAGGTTATAAATCTTGTGTGGCTACTTGGGAAGACTCAGCAAAAAAATAGGAGTTGGAACTGGGAATGGGAACCTTCAGGCATTTTGGAGCTGCAGTGTAAAGAGTTTAAGGCTTAAAATGATTTTTATAGTGCATTAATGTATTACCACTTTCCTTAATGTTGTTTCTTCTTTCATTTCCACCAAAGAAATGAGCCATCGGACCTCAGATTTCTCAAAAATTTTAAATACAGCTGAAAATCTCCTGCGTGAATTACTGTAAGTGAATTGCTTCCTGCTTATTTAAGGGTTATGTTAGTTACACCAATAATGACTAATGTGACTGCTATACACTGACTAGTTGACTTTCTTCTGAAATTTTATTTTTTGTCACCTTCATAGAATTCATGAAGGGCAGCAACAATAGAAATTAGTTCTCTGCTGGTACAGAGGTGATCTGTATATTACTGATTAGTCAGATTTTACTAAAACAAGCTCTTTGATGTCTTTTAGAATCATTGATAAGGAGCCCTTTTCTTCTTTGTAGTGTGACACTTTTCAAAAAGTTTGAAATAAATATATTGTATATTAAAATCAATGTTCCTATAGCAGTTAATAATGTTGTTCACTTCACATAAACACTTGACTCTCAGTCACAGCTGAGTTATTGACAGAGGTATTTTAATAGTTTAATAGTTTTAACAAGTAATTTTTGTGACTCTCTCAACTCCTTATGGAACTTGCTCTCTGTGTACAATTTACTGTGCAGTTGCACTTTCAAACTGAAGGGTCTCAAAGTTGAATTCTAAGATGAGCACTTTGGTATGAAGTTCTTAACCTGACAGAAAAGCCACGAAGCTAGAAACAGACCAAATTACAAGTGAGCATTAGTTCTGCTTCAAGTTTTCATGTGCTGTGATTGTAGAGCTATTCAGGAGTAAATTTAATACTATCCAAAGGGAAAAACAAGCATTTTTTTTTTCAGTAAAATGTATAGCATTCCTCTTAAGTCATTACTCAAGGTCAGTGCTGAAGTAAATTAATGGGATTTGGTCTAGCCTCTTTTCAAACACTGTTCTAAAATGACAGTGTTCTGAGTTGCTGTTAAATTCATAATATTAAGTAGTATGCATCCTGCATCTTCTGGGAATAATATAAATGGTCATTTCTTGCATGCAGAAATATACCAGAAAACTACAAAGTTATTTTCCTCCAAGGAGGTGGATCTGCTCAGTTCAGTGCAGTCCCACTTAATCTGATCGGTTTAAAGGAGAAAAGACATGCAGATTATGTGGTTACTGGAGCCTGGTCAGCAAAAGCAGCTAAAGAAGCAGAGAAATATGCCAAAGTGAATATTGTTCATCAAAAACTAGGAGCCTATACAAGTAAGTTGACGATTACATCCATCCATGTGAATACTTAGCTTTTTGAATTGCTCTAAAAATTGGTACTACTTGGCTATTGGTTTATTGATTGTTAACTAGCTACAGAGTTGACTGCCCAGCACTCAAAAGATTGCCTGCCACATCTTACTGTGTTCACCCCTGGGAGATCTGGTAGGTGGCTTAAGGATTTCCAGCAGGAAACAATCGTGAAACTAAGCTGAATTAATACCAGAAAATAAGTAGGAAGAAGCAAATGTGTGTTGGTAGAGAAATGGTCTGGGCTGTCTGATTTTGCGTGTGTTTTAACTGAGTTTTTAAGCTATTTGCAGTGATGTTGTGAGGTATTTAAATTTCAGAGCAATCTCTGAAATTTAGAATGTGTCTGGGGTCTTTGTAATGTCCTTTCCAAGCCAAACCATTCTATGCTGTTAACCTTACTGGCCCGGGAAGTGGGAGACCTGCATTCTACTACCTACTTTCAAGGGTTCTCAAATACTTATCTTCCCCACTCATGAATTGCAACAGGCAATTTGCTCTGGAATAGAAGAGGCCTTTCTAACTCTTCCTCTTGAAGCTTGTTACTGGATGTAACATGATTTGAATGACCACAGTGCAGAAGGAAGAAAAATATTAACTGTAATCAAGGCATTGATAATTTTTATGAGAGAATCTGCTTCAAGAAAATTTTAAGTGTATAATTTGTCATTGGATATACATAAATAGTTCTTTTAGTGGGGCCATCTCAGTTCAGGGGTCTACTCCTGCTAGACACACTTCCCTCTAGTCCAAATTATTGCATTTGAACTGGGTGAAGTGGTGATAGAAAATACTAAGAACGTCACCATATGAATTAGTATATTAATAGGTGCTTAGGGCACTAACTTGGAGTATAATTTTATGTTCTTTGAGGCACAAAAAGGAATTGAATGTACAACCTCTCGGTCTAGGGGAGTGTATCCACCATTTGGCAGCTGTAGGTAAAGGGTGAGGCAATAAATAATGTTGGAGGCAGCACTTCTTCGCCCTCATGCTTTGGAGAAGATGGGAAAAGCAACCATTTGTTCTATGCAAAACCTGTTCTGAGCTGTCAAGGCATGCCTGTATATTGCCTGATGACAGGGGAAATCTAAGTTTTGTAAATCAGTTTCAAAGCTTAAATGGGAGGTAGGTTGCTAACGTTGTGTTCAGCTTGGACACGACTGAAATGCTTCTGGGGATGCACAGAAACACAGCCTGAGAGAACTTTGCCAGTGAGAATTTGGATGCTTCACTGGTTCCAAAGGCACCAGGAATGTTCTTGGACCCAGTGTCTGTGTTGCTCTGAAATGCTCTTTTGGACCCCTACTGCACTAGTTTGTAGCAAACCTGATGAAAATCCCCGGAGGCATAAGAACCGAAAACCAGAGGGATCTTTGCAAGCTTAGAGATGGCATACCACGGAATTTTGGGAATGCACTGGTGCACTTTTTGCAGATAAATTATATCTTCCTGGTAACAAGGTAATTAGTACTTTATTCCGCAAGATTGTTCTGTGCTTGCACTTAAGTCCCGTGCTCAAGTAAAATTGCATGTCAGGAAAATTGCTTGTCTCCAGTGACCTTTGGTTTTCTTTTTTGTTTCAGACATTCCCGACCCAAGCACTTGGAATCTTAATCCAGACGCGTCCTATGTCTATTACTGTGCTAATGAGACTGTTCATGGTGTGGAGTTTGACTTTGTACCTGATGTCAAAGGAGCAGTCTTGGTTTGTGATATGTCATCAAACTTCTTGTCCAGACCTGTGGATGTTTCCAAGGTACAGCATTGGACACAATGGCTGCACAAGGCATTTTCAAACTTGAATGCATATAATTAGGGACTTTGGAATGTCTGGATGACCAGAGATGCTGAGCAGTGCAATTAAGGAAATTCTATTCTGTTAAATATGTATCTGATGTTGGATATGAATGGTAAAGTTTCAGACTTTATCTGTTGATTTTTTTTGTCAATGAAAACATACTGAACTGTGTTAAAATTGTTTGCGTTAATAGCTGCCCAAGATTATCTGTCTACTGTGTGGACTACACTTGATGCTGTGGCTGGAAAATATATCTTCTCAATCATATTTAATCTGTAGGTGGTTTATATGGCTGTAGCAGGCTACTGTGAATCAGAATTTTTGGTCCTGCCTATTACATCTTTTCCCCTTCCTAAGCTGCTAAAGCTTCATGTGCCTCACTAATTACTGTCCGTTTCATAGGTGATACAGAGGCAGAATGTAGTACTTATGTTTGTAAAGTGTTTTATGGGTGGGAGGTGTTACTATCTAATGAAGTGGCGTATTTGACCTTTCTTGTTTGTGTGTACCAAAAAGAAGGGACAATTTTTGGTCAATTCATCTTGGTCTTTCCTGAGGCCATCTGCCTCTTTGAACAGGTGGATGCCAGTTCTGAAATACCAGACTGGTTTAAAGTACTGTGATCTGTGTATGAATTTATTTTTGGTAATTTTGCTTGGAGTACTCTGAAATCGGTACAGGCTGCCTCGAGAATTATTTATGACTACTAAATAAACATTTAGCAAATGATTGGGATTTTTTTTTGTGATGGTCTTTGTGTGTTGAATGAGGATACATGGTTCTGATCATAGATTTGCATGGGGTAACAACTGTAGCTGGGAGCGTATTTTTAAATCAGAACTTCTTCTGACTCTTCCTTGACCTACAACTTGGTCGTGTTCAACAGTCTCCAGCCTGTTCAGCTGGGTTGTGTGCCTGTTGTATAATGACACTGGTGTGTTACTAAGTGACAAGATCTACTAGTGGATGCATGTAGGAACTCCTCCTTTTCCTCTCTGTTAAAGTTTGGCGTGATTTTCGCTGGTGCTCAGAAGAATGTCGGCTGTGCTGGAGTTACCGTTGTAATAGTACGTGAGGACCTGCTGGGATTTGCACTGAAGGAATGCCCTGTAGTTCTGGATTACAAAACACAAGTGGCGAATGGCTCTTTGTATAACACTCCACCGTGCTACAGGTAACCCACTTTACTATTTATTATCTCCTACTCAGGAAGCTGCTGCACTGCCATCTGCTGCTCTTGCCGGGAAAAGCTTCTGAAGTTGTGTGTTTCACTTCAAGTGACTGACATGTTGGATGGAGTGTTTCAGAGGATTCCTGTGGAAAGATGGGGGTTGTCCAGTCATTTAACTGTAGCAGGTTTTAAGGTTGCCCAGTGGGACTCACACATAAAGGACACAGTATTTTTAGAAATTAATATTATGTCATAATTCTACTGTAGAAGTTTCAGGTTCTGATTCTTGCTTACATGGATGCACCTCTAGTCAGTTCAGTGGTAATGCTTCTACCATTGTAAATAAGTGGTTTGACCTTTACTCTTGCTTCTTAAACACTCACTACAGATTTGATTTAGTTTCATCTTGAGGTTGCTCTCAGCAATTAAGCCTCCAGTTCTCTTATTGATTTTCTTTGCTGGAAGATACAAGATATTACCGTCATTAAATTTTAATGATATAAAATATTACAAGACTAGGTATTCTTTTAAAATATTTTTAAATTTCTATGTTCTAGCTGCATCATTCACTACTGTCAGTTTTGAAATGAAACGAATTTTTTTTTTAAAAAAGGTATTTTAGTCACTGTTTTGCTTTATTCTCTAGTACCACTTTCTGTATTTCTTTGACTACTGCCTCAGTGCTTAACTTAATATCAAAAAATAAAATTGGTCTAGCTTCATAATCGTTGCTAGCAATCAAGATCATAACATTATCATGTATCTGGTGATTTCGTGTACACCAAGAAGCAGAGCAGACTGCAGCTTGCTCTTTTAAAACTGCTATCTTGTAGCTTCTGATAGATAGTGAAGTGGTGCTTTGCTACTGGAATATTTAGGTGTTGACCCATTTTTAATCTGGAGCATTTTTACAACAATGTCCTCTAAAATGATTATTTTAAAAAAGAAAATCTTCCAGCCAGGTATCCTTTTTTTTCCCCAAAATTTTTTACATTACTTTGAAAATAATGATTTCTGCTTTTAAAGGTAACATTTCCCTTTGCTTCGGATAACTTGATGATGCGATCTTATATTGATATTTAATCTCAGCTGGTACAGCTTTTCACACTTGCCAGAATTTGCAAACTTATGTTGCCTAATGATGTCCAATGGATACTAAATGTGCTGTATAAGCATGAAGTATAATGATTTCTATGTATAAGCCTACCTTAATGCAATTGCTTACGTAAATTTAATGGAATTTTAAGCAATACTAATTGTGTTTCTGAATCTGCTGATTCTTGCTACGAGGGTTACTGTTGCAATGACATAAAGGCAGTTAATTTATCAAAAGATGATAAACATTGTGAGCATACGTTTATTTCAGATTTTACAAAGCACAAATAGTTTTCCCAAGAAGGATGCACACTGTGGTGGTATGCAGTGGTGTAGTGATGAACTCTTCCTGTCAGCCTGTCTGCTCTATTGGCTGGATACATCTGGTATCCCTAGGGCTGCTGTTAAGAATTAACTTATACAACGTTTCCAGATTTTTGTCTTCTTTTCGAGTGTAACTTTGCAATATGAACAGTAGTTTTCTTTTGTTTTTTTTTTTCCTCCCCGTGATTGATAAATCCTCTATTTCTTTGATTGTTTTCCTGACTGCCAAGTCACATGTACTATTTTGGACACTTATGCATGCTACATTTTGAATCCAGCCATTCATGTTTTCCAAGTACAAAGCCATTTCCATTTGAAAAAACAGAGTTCTACTTGATCTTGGCACTTGAACACAGTGTTGCTCCTCTGGTTTGAAAATCAAAACAAATTATTTTAGCCACTACACAGAAATTCTGAAGACCAAGTCCTTCTTTAGCTGTATCTCAGTGTCTGTCAGTAAAATTAACAGGGTAGCAGGAGATTAAGGGAGTTAAAAATTAAGTAGAACTTACAGTCTTTCTCCTTTTTGATCACTGTATTGCCAGATTTCACTTCATGCTACAGACCTGCCTTGGAGTACACTCCACAATCCAGAATGTGATACAGACTGGAATGTTGGCAGGATGCACATCTGTGTGGCTTGGCTCTAAATGCCTGTTCCAGTTTTTGTAGGGAACTGGCAAAGCTTCTTACTTCTCTCTTTCTCTGCTCTTTTCCTTGCACTTTCTAATGGTTTGCTGGCAAACAGGCTGGAAATATTAACTGAATTTGCAAAAGCTACTTCAGCAGGATGTTAAATTAAGGTGATGTTAATGGCTTTAACCTTTTGGTGCTACAGAGCTCAACTCTTTGACCCTAATCTGCTTTCCTAACATTAACAATGAATTTGCTATAAAAAAATCCCATTTCTGAGCTCCAGAATGTGTTTTGCATTTAAAATTGCTTCAGAAATATTATTTTGACTGATGTGAAATAAGGATAGAGTATTTCGGCTGGATGGGTTTTGTGGGTGGCTCTAAGGCTGACTTCTTTAAATCTTCACTTGTCCAAGAAGACTCATTCGAGGAAGTGAGGGCAAGAGGTGAATGTGGTCCTGCATATTTGGCAAGGACATTGTCTATACTTAACTCTTTTACGCTAGGGTCGTTTACAATGTCCTGTCATGGATGTGGTGAGATTCTGCCCTCAGAGCTCTAAGGTACTTTGTATAAAGGGCAGTCTGTAACCCTGGTTTTTCTGCAGTCTTTCTTCAGTTTTCAAAGATTTGATGCTGGTGTTCCCTGAGAAGTTAAGAGTAGCTAGATTTGTGTTAGCGAATCTTGTAGGGTAATGTTCTCTGTGGACTTCCTTGGAATCTGTAATGAAGGGATTAATAATAGCAAACTTGTTGGAAATATGCCATAAAAACTTGTGAAAAGTTTATGTAAAGTGTTTTAGTCGTGGGAAATGCCTGAACTTGAACAGGCTGAGCTCTGTAGCAAAACCACAATTGCCTCAGGGATTTTTTTATGTTGCACTTGGTAACTAGCATTGAAATACTTGGTCCCAAGCCATGTGATGGCAGTAGGCTTCCAGATCTCTACTTAGAACTTGAAAGGTAATGCATAATTGTGATACATCATTATTTGCTTCACCAAGCTTCACTATTCATGTGGGCAAAAGGTCTTTAGACAGAAACGGGATTATAGTTTTTATTATTTTATATATATAAAAATTATATATAAAATAAATATATAAAA